GAGAGAGAGAGAGGTCATGGTGGTGTCATACTGACCCCCACGCTCCACTCAGACCTTTTATACCGATATGAAATATTAAAGTACAATATTTGCCATTTTGAAACCGGAAAGAAAACAATAAGTCCATAAGAGCTTCAATACAAGAAAAATGAATATAAACTTTGGTATTCCAACAAAGCTTTCTCTACTGCTTTACTCTTTGATGCATTGATTGAAGCTTGATTTAATGGTTTAAAACTTTAAATAAGTGCATAGAGTTGCAGTCTCAGAGATTTATCAGATGGTCCTGTATTTATTAGAAGTCTTGATACTGTATTTTTGTGTAATGCCATCTGTATAGCTTGTTAATGTGTAGCTTCTGGCATTAGATCTCAAATTCAATCCCCATGCAAGGCGATGAATGCCAAATAACTATGAAGTCTCGTGGATATGTTCATTAGTTGGTTTTCTTTTTTGGTGTTCTTCGATTTAGTGCTCATTGGTACATCTACATTCTTTCAAACTACAATTATTGTATCTAAAGGGGTATGTGGGTACTAAGTGTTTACAATGGATGTTGTTATGATAGATAATAATGTCTTTCTCGGTTGCCTTCTTGGTTTTAATCTATTTTATTGTAACTAGGCGTTCACTGTTTATGTGGCTAATAGTTCATCACTTCATCTATATCTTGATCATCTCTCTTGGTTTACACTTTAAATCCTTTACGGTTGTGTTTTTCTATTGACAGTTCAACATTCTTTTATAGGTTTAACTAAGCTGGAGATGCTGAACCTAGATTCCTGTAAAATTGGCGATGAAGGGCTCAACAATTTGGAAGGTTACTTCTGAAGATATCTTTTGCTTAGTAGTGTACTAATTTATTTTCATTTACGCTTGTAAACTAGTTTTATTTAAATTCATGTTATCCTTGTCAAAACATGTATTTAGGATTGGTTATGTTAGAAGAAACTGCAATTTTATCCTTCTAGTGCTTTTGTTATTTTCTTCTGATTCTCATTTATTTGTTTGCATCTCCTTAGTATAATGTATTAATGTTCCATACATCCTGTCTTCTGGTTTGAACATCCTGTTTTATGTTTTCTTGATCTAGGGCATGTGCAATTGAAAAGATTGGAGCTGTCAGACACTGAAGTGGGAAACAATGGACTCCGCCATCTTTCTGGTTGGTCTTCTGTTATTCTCAAACATGATTTTGATCTTTTATAAACTGCATAAGCAGGAGGAAGTTGTGCACTTGATTTTGTGGTTTTACCAATCATGTGAAAATGGTCTTTGTGCCACATTCTCTGTTGATTCGTGAATAATGTTCTTGATGATCAGCTTGAAGGATATTCAAAGGATCTTTATAGAATTTGCAGAAGTGTACTTCAAACATCTTTTATGCACCTTGATGGCTACTCATTTGTTTCTATTCCTGTACTATTTGAATAAATTATTCCTTCATGCACAAGCAACAAAGTCTATGTCAGTGCATTTTCCTTTATCCCCCTTTTGTTGATCAGAGATCTTAGCTTGTGGCGAGGACATGATGGTATTAGTTGTTGGTGAAGGGGCACTAGTGTGTTATTAGTCTTTTAATTTATTTTAGTTACCTAAGGGTATTCATGTTGTTTGCAGTTGTACAGAATTCAAGGGGTTTAGTTATTTTTTTAATGCTATTTTAGTTAGGAGTAAATATGTCATTTTGTTTGAGTTAAGTTGTATAAAAAGGAAGAGAGGGACATCCAACCTCTTTAGAATGTTTTATTTTCAGAACTTGGAGAAAAAAAAAGAACCCTAAAAAGGGCTTTTTGAATTCTTTTATCAAAGGCCAAATAGAGAGGTTCGTGGCACCTCCCAAGGTCCCTTCCTTCCAAGGTATTCTTCAATTTCTTCATTTTTCATATCCCTTTACTCTCTCTCTCCTTGTTTCCCTTCTCTTTCCTTAAATATTTTTGTCCTCTCCTTTCTTTCCCTCCCTTTTTTCCCCTTCACTTTAGTTCTTTAGTGTTTTCATCCTTTCTTAGTTTTCCTCCTTTTCCCTTATTTTCCTCTTTGTTTCATTTTATATCAAACACAACCCTTTCAAAGAGTCCATCAAAACCCTAAAATAATAAATTATGGGTTCCTGGAATCAACGCAAAATAAAACCCCTTGAAACCTTACCCCTAATTTCACAACTAAAGTTAAACCTATTTTTACATTCCATTTAACTTCAAAACCTTAGAACTAGTTGTGGAGACCCTCTGGATTTAATTTAAAGTCATTTTTGGACCCTATTCTTCTTTCAGGCTGTAAGCTTTAAATTTGATCGAGATCAAATTTTATTTAGCTGATTTTGTTGAAGGACGTATTTCAATGTATTATGGATTTTAAATCTCATCTCCGGGGCACTAAAAGAAATTCCTGATATTACATGTTGATTTACACAAGTTTGTTTATTTATTTTTGTGGAGGATTATTTGCTGAAATTGTTGATATTTTACCTTATTTGATTTTAAAGTGTTCTCCAAATATGTTTTAGTGTCTTGTAATAGAAGATTAATGTGTGGCTGATCTTAGATTACATCGGTTTGGTACCAAAGCTTGTTTCCCTAGGGCTAGAGGTCTATTACTAAATTGTTTAGGGTCTGTCCTAGAGTTTTAAGGTGTCCATTAGGTCTTTAAGGTGTTGGCGCTCTGCTATAATGCCCCTTAGGTGCTATCGTACTTTGTGATATGGCATTCCTCAGTGTTTTATGTGTTGTCCTAAGGTTAATACAAAGTTCTCGAGGTCTTTTGGTTGTTACCCTAGAATTTCCCAAGTTAGGAACTTTGCTCTGGTGGCCTTCCAGAGCTTACAAAGTGTGCCTTAGGCCTAGGAAAGTTTTATATTAGGGTCAGGTGAGTTCACACTCCATAGAAAACCGTAGGCAATGTGAGCCAAGGTCGTGGTTGAGACCAAGGTCTTGGCTAATGCTGTGGGCATGCTCAAGTCAACGGTGCTTCAGTGTGGACAATAGATTGTCCAACAAAGATTTGATCTACATGATGACTCTTTACAATGGATTAGGGAGCAATTGTCCTATATTGTATAGGTTGTAGGTGTCTGGGTGGCGCTTCCCCTTAATTCTCTGTACATACCTCATGAAGATGTTGTTGTGCATGATTCTGAGAGGAACTAAACACTAGATGAGGAAGAAGATCAGCAGTATGAGGATGAGCCTTCTGAGGAACCTAGCCAATACTGCAGTGGAGAAGATAGAGGATAGATTGGCTAGGGCATAAGAGGGGTCCTGTAATATCTCGATTTGGAGGATTATCATGGACTCTTAGATACCAATTAGTTCATCGAGCAGTCAGAGAGTGTCAATCCCTTCTTTAAATGGACGGATCTTCGTGAGGTTAAGATGATGAAGTTTGCTACCATGATGCTGAAAGGTTTTGCACTTATCTGGTGGAAGCAACTTCATAAAGTAGAGGCAGCCAGGTCTAGGAGAAAGTCAATACTTTGGTCTGAAAGAGAGAGAAGCTTTGACAAAAATAATAACATCCAATTATCTAGAAGCTTCGTGCTTTGAAATTGGCGTCAAGTCACTAGAATACATGAGTTTCAGCTGCTGGCTGCGTATAATTGTCTTTAGGAGGATGATGAGCAAGTCATGGCTCAATAAGTAGCTAGGTTGCGTTATCAGATCCAAAGATCAGGTTTCCCTTCATACCTTAGTGAATGTTGATGATGCCTAATTGACTTCCTTTGAAAGTCGAGGAGCATCTCCGATGTCACATGAATAGAAAGGAGAATACTAATTGAGGGTTATCGAGTTCCTCTGGAAAGGCTCAACCAGATGGACATGCTAAAGCAACCTCATCCAGGACCCAGGGGTAGGTGCCGGGGCATGATGAGGCATTCTTGGCCCCAGCCCTCAAAATAACACTTTAAAATGCTTCTAGTGTGGAGAAGCGGATCATCGATCAGTGAAATGCCTAGGTAGGTCGTACAAACCTCAGGATAACGTGGTGGAACAAGTAGAAGTTGAAGGAAATTTAGGGGGTGAAGATGACTTGAGGATAGAGTTGATCAAGGTTGAAGATGTAGGACTGAGAGAAGTGAGGATGTTCCTTATTTGAACGTCACCGGAGATGCCCAAGGGAAGACACTTCTCATCCATAGGGTTGTGATGCCTCTGAAGGCCCTTGAATTTTATAGGTGGTTGCGGCACAATATTTTCTACAGAAATTTAGGACTTGAAGATGACTTGAGGATAGACTTGATTAGGGTGAGGATGTAGGAGCAAGAGAAATGAGGATCATCCTGATTTGAACGTCATCGGAGATGCTCAAGGGGAGACACTTCTCATCCATATGGTTATGATGTCTCCGAAGGTCCTTGAATTTTATAGGGGGTTGCGGCACAATATTTTCTACACTAATTGTACAACAGGCAAAAAGTTGTGCATGGTTGTTATTGATAGTGGAGATACTGAGAACCTAGTTTCTCAAGAGATGGTGAAAACGTTTCGCTTGAAGACCGAGAAGTTAGGAATGCCTTACAACATGGTGTGGTTTTAAGGAAGGAATGAGATCCTTATTAGGTGGCGCTGTCTTATGAGTTTCTCAATAGAGACAACCTATAAGGATGTTGTGTGGTACAGGTAGCCCCTCGTAAGATGTGTCACATTTTGCTTGGCTGCCACCGCAATTTGGTGGGAAAACACACCATGATGGTGAGAACACCCACTCCTTCATAAGTGTTATAAAAAGATTCCACTCCTTCCACAAAAGGATACAACTTAGGAAAGGAGTAGTGAAACCTCTAGGTCCTCAAGAAAGGGGGGAGGAATGCGTCTATATATTTTGCTTATACTTTTGAATAAAGTGCAATTTGAGGTGGAGATTGAGTCGCATATAGCTGTGCTCTTGTGGCTAAGGAAGAGGTACATAGTCCACTACGTTTAGTGGCCTCATGCCACATGTGCTTCCTATGGCCTCCTTCTATGAGAGGTATACAATACTTTATAGATCTCATTCATGTAGCCCGTCTCCTACACCAGGCCTCGTTATTAGATGAGTCCAACGGAGCATAAAAAGTTGCATAGGCTCGTCACAGTGTCGTTACCCTTTTTGTGTGTGTTGGTTAAGCAAAAATTAAATGACTTCAATGCTCAAGATATATGGATAAGACTAGAAATTCAAATGCACACAGAAAGAGAACAAGCAAATATTAAAGGGAAGTCCAAGATAGGGACACTTACATTGGTGAAGGTTCGGATTCTCCTGGGCCAGTTAGGCGACTTATCAAATCTCCATAGGAAACCCCTATACATTCTGACAGTGAAGTGAGTTTGAAGAGGGTGAGGTTACACAGATCTCTTCTAGGATGGGTATGAGTGCCTCCGATCCTCTAAGGTATACGTTCTTGGAGGCAGTGTGTCCTTGACTCTTCCTCAATCGGCCTTGGGATTGTGGGTCAATTTTCTCTACAATGGTTGCCTGAGGTCTATTTTGGTGCTTGTTAATTTTCTTTGACTAGGGTTAGGGTTTTGGTTGGGAGTTCTAACCTAGGTCAAGGGCTTGGGTCAGGGTTTTCTCTCCTTGTGGAGCTTTTTCTCTTACTAGAAATCTATACACTCCAACCAAGCAAATGATCTCCAACCACTTGAATGTTGGGCCTTTATTCCTTCATTTTCTTGCCAGTTTGCAGTTGATTGGATACCAGAAAATGGTAGCGCACTGATCGTGGAATGATTTGCGACAAATTTCACTTAAAAACTTCAAGTTTTGAAGGAGGTATGTGAAAATCATGGTTTTTAATAGCATAAACGTAGTCAGAATTAAGCCGCAAAATCACTAGACTACAAACTCCATCAAGTGGTAAATGCCCCAACTTCTTTCTAGATTGTAACCATGATTAGGTGCAAAAGCCCCCACAATATATATCTTGGCGGAAAGTTTTCACAGTCAGGAAAAACATATCCGAAGCCCAGATCATTCTCCTATTGTGTTTGAGAGATACCGGGGCCTAGAAAATCACTATTTTTTGCTATTTTTGCAGTATGTTATCCAGAATGAATAGTAGTCCGATTTCAACTTTTTAATATCATGATATGCCCTCAAACTTTAGTAAACGGAATTAAAAGGTATCAGATTGCCACAAAAAATTGAAGTTAAGGGTTTTGAGTGACTTGCTATTGTTCTCGAGAG